TGCCGCATTTCCCGACCGCTTTCCCACGCCAGCTGCATCCTAGACCCAATGCCTCCTCCCTAGGCAGGCAGCGAAGAACAACCAACGCCCGCCGACCGCCTCCCGAACAACCACCTCCCGCCGACCACCTCCCGCCGACCACCTCCCGAACGACCATGGAGTTCATGACGGCCCTCCCGGCCTTCGACGAGCAGAAGCCGTCCCTCTTCGAACTCCTCTCCGAACAGCAGCTCAACGGCCTGCTGCCGCCGACCCTGCGCTACCTCCTGACCGTCGCCACCCAGCGCTACCCCCGCCACCTGCTGCGCGTGCTCAACTCGTTCGACGAGCTCCACGCCCTGCTGATGCTCCTCGTCGAGCGCCACTACCTGCGCACCCGAGGCGGCTCCTTCACCGAGCACTTCTACGGCCTCAAGCGGGAGAAGGCCCTCCACGCCGAGATCCCCCGCGCCAACGCCGCCGCCCCCGCCATCGTCCGCGACGCCCTGCGCCTGCGCACCGCCGACGTCTGGAAGAACCTCGCCGTCATGGTCGCCCTGCCCTATCTCAAGCGCAAGCTCGACGACGCCCACGAGGTCAACGCCCCGCGCGCCCTGCTCGGCGCCGCCTACACCCGCCTGCCCGCGAACCCGACCCCGAAGCAGCGCCTGCTGCACTGCTACCGCTGGTTCCTGCGCACCCTCTACCCCTCCGTCAACGCCGCCTACCAGTTCGCCGTGCTCGCCTTCCACCTCGCCTACCTGTTCGACACGTCCAAATATCACCACCCCTTCCTGTGGATCATCGGCACCCGCGTGCGCCGCATGAACGCCGACGACTACCGCGCCATCGATGCCCTGACTACCACCGCCCAGACCACCGCCCACGGTCGCCCGCCCGGCGTCCGCTCCTTCTTCGCCCCGCGCGAGCTCGCCCCGCGCCTGCTCTCGAGCCTCTCCGTCCTGCTGCCCGCCAGCATCTTCGCCCTCAAGTTCCTCGAGTGGTGGCACGCCTCCGACTTTGCCAAGCAGCTGTCGCGCAAGGCCGGCGACGCCCTCGACCTGCCACCGCCCGTCGTCTCGGGCCTGCCGCCGACGACGACGACGCCCGCCGCGCCAGACGCCACGGCCACGACACCCGCCACGCCAGACGCCACGGCCACGACGACACCCGCCGCGCCAGACACCAAGTCCGCGACACCCACCGCTGCCGAGACGGCCCCCATCGCCACGCCCTCCCTGCTGCCCATCTACACCGTCCCGGCGCCGGCAGACACGAGCCTGTGCCCCGTGTGCGCCGGCGCCATCGTCACGCCGACGGCCTGCCAGACGGGCTTCGTCTACTGCTACTCATGCATCCATCGCTGGCTCGAGGGCGCCCATCCCAAGCAGGAGGCCTTTATGGAAGACAAGCAGGCCAAGTGGGAGAGCGGCGCCGGCCGTTGTGCCGTCACCGGGCGCCGCGTGCTGGGCGGGACCGAGGGGCTGAGGCGCATCATCGTCTAGATGCGTCGGTGCTGGTGCTGTGCACCGGCGTGCATCCGAGGCAATGGTTGGCATCGCATGCCGGTCGGCCGGTCGGCCGGCGAATGGCGTTGCTGGTTTGCCCTGTCTCCCTTGGAAGACCCCCCCTGTTCTTGAGAATTTTCGTCAATGGTCTGTCGTGACCCGTGGTGACCCGTGGTGGCGGGACTCACCTCTGGAATGCCACCCCTCTCCCTGGCATGCGCCTCGTCCCCTCCTTCACGCGTCAAACCTGACGACGGCGGCGGCCCCCCCCCTTCCCCCCGCGCGCCTATTGTGAGCATTGTTCGACCTCAAAATCACTCAACGCGCTCCTGTCTACCACGCGACATATGGGGGGGGGGGAGACGCCCATGCCGGTCGCCTCGGCGCGCCTGGGCACCTGGGCACCTGGTTGGCGACATGCCGGTGGCCTCGCCCAGCCGCCCGACTTGCCTCCAACGTCCATTCCCGCGCTCGACGACGACATTCCAACTTGTGGTCCAGAATAGAACACGACGAGCAACGGCTCGTCGTCGTCTGCTATATCATGGCCGCACTTCATCTCGTTCTTCATTACTCCTCCTCTGTATCATAACAACCATCACCTCACCAACCAAGCCACACACACACTCACACACACATACACACATACAATGGCATACAGTCTATCACACTCCTATTTTGGAGACGCCTTCGTCTCAGATTTCAACTGGTTCAATGGAAATGACCCCTCCCACGGTTTTGTCCGGTGAGTCTAGCTGATTGTTGCTCCATGACCGAACGAACCCTTCCCCCCACTGACCCCTTTTCCCAAGATACCAAAGCGAACCCGACGCTCTGGGTCAGGGCCTCTACTCGGTCAACCCCATCTCACAAGCCGTCATTCTTGGCGTCGACCACACCAACACATTCGCCGTCGATGAGGGCCGCCCCAGTGTGCGCCTAGAGAGCAAGCAGGCGTACAACCATGGCCTGTTCATCGGTGACTTTGCCCACATGCCGCCTTCCGTCTGCGGTCTGTGGCCGGCGTTCTGGATGTACGGGCCCGACTGGCCCAACAGCGGCGAGATTGACATCATCGAGGGCGCCAACCTGGCCACGAGGAACCTCATGTCGGGACACACCTCCACAGGCTGCACGTTGCCCCCGGCTGCTGGCCAGGTGCTGGGCCAGCCCACGACCACCGACTGTCTCTCGCCCGGCACCAACAACAATGCGGGGTGCGGCTACGCCGCCGACCCCCTGAACCAGGCCAGCTACGGCGACGCCTTCAATGCCGTGGGCGGTGGCGTGTACGCCATGGAGTGGACCGAGGACGACATCAAGATCTGGCACTGGTCGAGACAGAACATCCCCGCCGACATCATCAACAAGCGACCCACGCCCGAGACCTGGGGCCTGCCCTCGGCGCTCTTCGGCGGCGACAGCTGCGACACGGACAAGCACTTCGCGAACATGAGCATCGTCCTCCAGACCAACTTCTGCGGCGACTACGCCGGCGCCGAGTGGCAGAACGGCCAGTGTGGCGATCTCGCGCCGACCTGCGTCGACTACGTGTCCAGCAACCCGCAGGCCTATGCCAACGCCTACTGGGAGGTCAACTACATCGACGTCTTTGAGCTCGCCAGCCTCGGTGCCGGCGCCCCCTCGCTCTCCGTGGAGCCCACGACGACGACCACCGTGGCGACGACGTCGACCATCTTCGTCACCGTCTTCCCCACCGGCCACAACGGCACCGCCGTCACGTCTGCCGTCGTCGCCACGCTTCCCGTGCCCTCCAGCATTCCTGCCGGCGTCTTCCCCCCCGGCGTCCAGCCTTCCGCGTCCGCCCCGTCCCGGGCGCCCGCTGCCGGCCCGAAGAGCCCTGCGACCGACCCCATCGTCCCGGCGCGCGACCCGGCCGCCATCGGCCCCTTTGCCTTCCTCGGCTGCTTCGCCTCGACCAGCAGCTTCCCCACCTTCCAGCTGAAGCAGACGTCGGCCGCCATGACGCCCAAGACCTGCGTCGCCCTCTGCGCCGGCAGTCGCTACGCCGCCGTCCACGACGACGCGTGCCTCTGCGCCACGTCGCTCGACGGCGAGACGCGCGCCATCGCCAACCGCGCCGAGTGCAGCATTCCCTGCCCCGGCGACGCCAGCTCGTTCTGTGCGGCACCCGGCCGACGCGCGGCGCCAAGCGCGCGCTCCCCTCCAACTTCCTCGTCAGCCTCTACGGCACCGTCGGCGGACCGAACGAGGTGCCGGCGCCGGCGCCGGCCATGGGCGAGGGCGGCGTCCACCCCCACGCCAATGCGAACGCGAATGTGAATTCCAACGCGAATGTGAATGCGAACGCCAATGTGAATTCCAACGCGAATGTGAATGCGAACGCCAATGCAAACGCCAACGCAAAGGCAAGCCTCACGACCGCGACCATGACCACCATCACCTACGTGACCGTGTGCCCGACGAACCCGGCGCAACTCATCACGACGGA